TGAATAAAAGAAATTCAAATTAGTCGAATTAACAAGTCTTATTTTATAATTTAAACGATATTTTTAACTATATACTGTATTTCTTTATAACTTTTACATGTGATATACATATATCATGCATAATTGAGAGACTTAAACTTGAAAACCAATTTATTAGATTCTAAAAAATTGATTATCCGAGTCTTACTTATAGTTCGATTTAAAATTGAAACTTTTAATTTGTGTCAAGTTGAGTTAAAAAATCAATTTTTTTGAGTCACTTCGAGTTTTATCCACCCCTAGATTAGGTCATATTTTTTAAGGATGAGGTCGAGTTTAAAAAGCTCGACTCGACCCAACCCGACCAACATAATATTACCACTTATATATAGAGATATAATTACAATAATAGCTTTTTCTATTTTATTATCGGCATAACGATAAAATTAACCCAATGTTAGTCCAAATTAGGGGTGCTTATCGAGCGAGTCGATCGAGAGTTGAACAATGCTCGTTAAAAAAATTTATTGCTCGACTCGTTACTCGTTAATCTCGTTAAATGTTTGCTCGACTCGTGCTCGTTAAAAAAACTTATTGTTTGACTCATTGCTCGTTAAACTCGATGCTAGTTAAGCTCACCGAAATTTTTACCTTATTTTCTTAATTATAGGTAAAATCTATTAATACTATACAAACATAAATTAATAAAATTAACCAAAAAATATTATGAAAAGAGTGTATGAAACAATTTCAAAGTTTAAACTCCAAAAGTAACAATTCATAAATACATTAAAATAATAAATATGGTTTGATTTTTTAGTATAGTAAAATACTAATTAATATTTTAGTATTTTTTGTTGTTTATTAGAAAAGTAATAGATTAGCAATTCATCATCTTTTTTTATTATCTATTAGTAAATTAGTTTTTTTGAATGAAATAATTTTTTAAGATAACTACTGAAAAAATTATATAAAAAAATTAATGAGTTGCTCGCGAACTTATCGAGTCGAGTCGGACTTTACTCGAATCAACTCGTTAAAGTCTCAAGTCGAACTCGAGTTCAAGTAGAGTCATCTCGAGTCGAGTTTTTATCGAGCTTTGAACGAGTCGAGTTCTACCTGTTCAACTCATTAAGCACCCCTAGTCCAAGTGATAATTTTGATTTATATATGTTTTTTAGTATTTTAACTTTCAACATTTATTTATTTTTGTTAAAATAACTTTTATCAAATGAAAAACATTATTTAACTAGCGTTAAATACATGTTATTGACGTGATATTCTTATATATATTTTAATTATTGATATGTTGCATATCATATCACTCAAATTAATAATATAACATATATCACATCACTATAATTATGATATAAAATACATTATATCACTTAAAGTAACTATGTGGTATACAATACATTTTCAATTAAATAAATATAAAAATATCCGTTAATAAATATTCACTGTTAATCAATTAAAGATTTTCAACAAACATATAATTAATTGGCCCCTAATCACAGTTAATAATATCTATAACTATATATAAAAGTTATCTCCCAATTAATTACATTGCTCAATTGGATTTTGCTTTCTGACAAGGCTCGACAAATTTGAGATTAGGGTTTGATTTTGATTCATTATTGTATTCTTATATATATATATATATATAGTTTGGATTTTGACTCGGCAGAACAGGAAAAAAAAAGCAAGAAGAACGCGCGCATCGACAGATAATCGAACAGCATCGCTGCCTATCTTTTATTAATCTTCCATCGTCATCTTCAGTCCTTAGTTCAATGGCGTCGAGATTTTGGAGACCACTGCAAGAGAAAATCATCCGACAGAGAAGAAAGTCGACCGACACCAATTTTTTTTTTTTTTATTTAGGGTAAGCTAATATTTAGTTGCCGAACTATTCCTGAATTCCGTGTTGATAATTCAATTATTTTTTTAAAAAATATATATATATATATTTAAATTTACGTTTTTGTTTTATTTTAACTATTTACTATTGAAAAAAATAAAAATATTGTCATGTCACAAGTTATATATTTTTTTAACGACGGATGATCAAAACGAAATAAAAATATAAGTTCATGTATGATTTTAAAAAATAATTAGGTGACATAAACAAATTTATATGAATAATTAGATGACTAAATATGTAGTTTATCATTTTATTTATGCCTTCAAAATAAGGTATAATTTTGGTTTTGATTCCTAGTATGATCAAATTCAAAATTTAATCTTTATATTTTAATTTAATTTAATATAATTATCTGTTTTTAGTATCAACAAGTAATTTAAATAATTAACATCGATAATGTAGATTTTCCTTCCTATACAAAGAAATATATATTAGATAGAATAATGATGTGATTTGGTGTGTAATAATTTTAGTCTTTAAAATTTAGAGTTTATCGATTTAGTCTTAGTTCAAAATATTTCACTAAATTTAATCCTGAATATTTAAAATTTCATCATTTTAATCTTTATTCTTCTTTTGAATTACTTGTTTTTCTCCCAAAAATGTTATATTATTCTCTTATTACTTTTTTTATATAATAATTTGTTTAACGATAACTTTTTTTTTTTTGAAAAATAAAGGTACGATTGTAAAGGAGAATCATACAATGGATATACATTGACACTAATCACATTAAAAAATCTCCTTAAACTTAAATGCAGGAAAAAAAGTACTACATGTCAAGTCCCGGATATAAAACAAACATGCTACAAATCCAATTACACAACCCAGAAATCTACCTGCAACATCTTCAAATCCTTAACCACCTATGACAGAACCACACCAATTTAACAATATCTTAGGAATAAGACTAAATTAATAGAATATCTAACTAAGAAGAGTTAACTTTATTAAATTGTCTAGATAAAATTGATAGAATGTATAAATTTTTAGGACTAAATGTTAATTATACTAAATCAAATTAGACATTCATTTCAATTTTAGCGATGTTGTGATATGTTCGTAAAGATATTCTAATTAAGTGATTTATTTATAACCTTTAAAAAATGAAGGAGCTGAGATATATTATATATCAAATTAAGGTATTTGGATTTCATCCCAGATTAAAGCATGGAAGAGGGACCAAAATCATAATTTGGCCAGTTATATACTCTATTTCTTATTTTCTTTGCGCTTCATATCGCTGTCAAATGTACTTGCCTTCTGCACTGTGAACTTGGGGGGTTTGATGAAGACGAGAGTGTCGCGCCATATAAGCAAGAGGATCGAGCGATACTCTTGATAATATGGCGCGCGAATATAAAGAAACAGAGGAACCACTGAACTCGCGCCATGGCAGCCATTTCCTTATATATACACTCCATTTTTCTCTCTTTCTCACTATATCTTCTTCCTCTTAAACATGGCAGTAGAAGTATTATTCGTCAAGACTCTTACAAAGACGGATAAACAGAAGAGATTGTCTGTTCCTACGAAGAAGAAAATATGTTTCTTGGATTTTGAAGACGGGTATACCGTGGAGTTTAGGGTGATGGACGATGATGGCAGAGTGTGGACCTTTGTTTGTTCTAAAAGGAAGAAGAATGGATATCCGAAGCCCGTTTTTAGTAAGGGATGGCTTCAATTCGTGCGGTGTTGGAAGCTGGAAATCGGTGATAAAGTGATGGTTTATCGGCTGACGGTGGAGAAAGGTGGTGAGGGGCAGTATAGGATCAGAGTGATCAGGCGAGAACCTTTAGCTCATGCTGATAAAGCCATGGCGGTAACAAGCTACACGGACGATGAAGACGAGGCGACCACAACTTCCTCAGACAGCACCAATGCCATGACAGATCAACATGGCTTCATGTTTGAATTCATTAGCCTGAAGCCGGATATAGCGGTTAGTGAGCGCAAATTCGTCGGCTTCATTGAGTTGGGCTCACGGGAAGGAAGAGAAAATGATCACCATCTATGCATTCTAACTCTGTAAAACTTCAGCACAGATGAAATTCGAGTTACCAGTTCCACCGCTCCTTTCTTTGATAGCTTCCAACCGTTAATTAGAAACCAGAGTTGTTTTGTTGTAATTTCCTAAGGATTTAATTAACATTTACCAAGCACGCCAGTTCCATACATACAGAATTATAAAGGGAAACATGTTTTGTAAATCATCATTTTGGTTGCAACGGGGATACAAACTCTTTGGATCCATGTTCTTACTCTCGCCGAACTGGTTTCCAATCCACTTTCTAAAAGAGTGTTTTTGGTGACGCGATAGGTTGTCTGGGTAGAGATTTTAACGGTTGTGTCAATTCGGATCAAAATGAAAGAAATTAAAACAATAGGTAAAGATTGCAATGTTTGTGTTATTACTTTTGGTATAATAAGAAAATTACCTTTTTAACGTTTGTACAAATGGTCACTTTGCCACTTATTATTTTTAATAGCATTTTAACTCCTAAAAGTTTTCCTTTTTTTTGTCAAAATTAATTTTGTTAGATGAAAATCGTTAGTTGATTAATTGTCATTCAACATGGATTGTTTTGATAAAAAATTAAAATGTTAGGAGCTAAAATGCTCTAAAAAAGAATAGGGGCAAAGTGATCATTTTTAAAAATGTTGGAGGGCAATTTTATCATTATGTAATTACCTTTTTGAATAAAATTACTATAGGCACTTTTATATTTTTAGATTATTATTCTTATTTCCTTTTATTTTTGGTAATGAATGATGTCTCTATCCATAAAAATCAAGAAATTAGAGTCTAATTTATCTAATATTGAAATTGATAAGATCTAAAAGTATTTAAACCTAAAAAGAGGAACTATGATCAATTTTTCTAATTACAAAATTTTCAGGGATTTAAAAAGTATATAAACAAAAATAAGAGGATTCATTTGCTTATCTTCAAGATTAATTAGCACCTAGGAAACAATTAAACCAGAGCCGTAGCACAAAAACACCTCGCATTTCCTCCACGCACATTTTTTATTTATTTATTTACTTTTAATTCTCACTCCCTTCCTTTCCAAGAAACTTCAAAATAAATAAAGCTCGGCAACTCACCCAACAACTCGGCTAACTCGGTCGTTCTCATCCCCACTGACAGCCACACGACTCTCTTCGGTTCCATTTTCGCTCTCTCAAGACGTGAGATCTGCTCTTTCCGCCCCAACTCACCCCGAGTCAACCCACTCAACTCTCTCTCTTCAACTTCACTATAAATATTCGTCGCCTTTTCTCTTTTTTTTTTTTATCATTTTTTGTCCTCCTCCTGTTTCAACGTCTTTGTCTCGTCGTCTCTTTTTGTCTGGATATAATCGTTCTCGTAACTCGTTATACTAAGGATTAACTGCTATTTGTGTCCGTCATTCTTGGGAGGTCAAGATCGGTTAAAATCGCGATTGATTTCGAGATTCATGAACTCGTTTTTAAAACTCGGTCCGAGTTCTGAGCTGATTAAGGATCGGGTCGAGTTACTGTGACTCTGTGTAGAGTTTCCCGGTTCATATTAGGGATTTTGGAAACTTTTTTGCAGCTTTAAAGTATGGCGGCTGTACGGAGGTGGACTGAGGGGATGTCCGCAGATAATTTTAAGGGTTTGGTTTTAGCGCTTTCCTCCAGCTTATTTATTGGGGCCAGTTTCATTGTTAAGAAAAAAGGCTTGAAGAAAGCTGGTTCTTCCGGTATCAGGGCAGGTACTGCAATTTATCAAACTTTTATCAACAATTCTTCTTCTTTCTTGATTAATGCAGGGTGTTGCAATGCATTGGATTATAGAACCCAATGTAGAAAGTGAAATTGAGTGAACTTTAAATGTCGGGAATCAATTTACAGTCATTAAACGATTTGAGTGAAAGATTTTATTAGCAAAGTTATGCATAATCTGTCAAAGTAATGTATATGTCTTTAGAAGACTATGCTGAAGAAAAATGGCATACGAGTTGATGGTTTGTTTTGCTTGTATAATTTGTTGCTATTGAATAATTTTTTTTCTGTTCATGATATTATTGTTATGTTGCTTTAAAATTGGCACTCTTTTTTTAGTATTTACCTCAGTTGCCTGAAGAACTTTTTGGGATGCATTTGCTATCATTTATTGTTTTTTCAAGTTTTCATTCTTTAAAAGGACTCTTGTATTGCTCTTGTGGCTTGTGCTTAACACAGTGCCAATGACTTTTGTTTTATTGGTGTTTACCTTTTGCACAGGCGTTGGAGGTTATTCTTACTTGTTGGAGCCACTTTGGTGGATAGGCATGATAACAAGTAAGGTTTATGGATTTTTGTCTATCATTAACGCTCCTTTTTATGTTTTCGTTTCCCTAATGGGATTCAGGAACCACTCTCTACTTTTAGCCCTTTCTTGTTTCTCTTCTTTTCGAATATTATCCCTAAAAGATGATCTTGTAGAAGCCACATTGCACCTATTCATAATGGGATGATCCTTTCAATGTTTTGTTGGCATCTATAGAAATATAATTTTCTTAATTTCGTTGCATGCATACATCTTAATGTTTAGGAACTATTCCAACTGTGCAGTCTTGTTAAATTTACTTAGTTGTTTCAGTTGCTTATGGTTCATGATTCTGGATTGGAAAATGGTTAATTCTGTTTGGTAATTGGCTGTGCTACAGTGGTTGTGGGGGAAATTGCTAATTTTGCAGCTTATGCATTTGCACCCGCTATACTGGTTACTCCTCTTGGTGCCCTCAGCATTATTATCAGGCATGGAAACATATCACTCAAATTTAGATTTGGTCTTTTATTGTTGATTGCTAATTATCACCTCTTGCAGTGCGGTTCTTGCGCATATAATTTTACAGGAAAGATTACATACTTTTGGGATTCTTGGTTGTGCTTTATGTGTCGTGGGATCTACAACTATTGTTTTGCATGCTCCGCCAGAACGTCAGATTGAATCCGTAACGGAAGTTTGGAATCTTGCTACAGAGCCAGGTTCCATTTTGTTACATTGCCCTTGGCACTGAACACTGTCTTATATTCGAAATTGTTGAACTGCAAACAAAGAAAATAATTGTAGCTCCTCTTTGATCCTCTCTCAGGGTTCCTCTTTTACACAGCACTGGTCTTAACAGTTGTCTTTATACTTGTATTCCACATTGTACCGCAATATGGACAGACGCACATTATGGTTTACATTGCAGTTTGCTCTCTTGTGGGTTCCATTTCGGTATGCATCCCTATCAAGTTGGTGGTAACTTAATTTTATTTGCATTCCGATATATTTGCAGATTTTTATTTAAGTGTTCTTTCACAGGTCATGAGTGTTAAAGCACTTGGTATAGCCTTGAAATTAACCTTTTCAGGAATGAATCAGCTTGTATATCCACAAACATGGGCCTTTACTTTAGTTGTTATCACTTGTGTGCTTACTCAAATTAATTATTTAAACAAGGTAATGGTTAGTTGTCTTTTCTTTTGTTCCTTTGATATCTATCTTAATGTCATTCATTTTACCCTTCAAAGAAATGAAAGAAGATAGCAATGTGGGGAATGTGAAGAGAGAACAAATAAATATTTATATTTTTTTATTTTCTATTTCATCTCTAGTTTTGAACAATTTATAGAAAGGGTATATTGGAATTTTCATTTTCTTGAAGATCACTAAGTTAATTAGCCAACGTAATCTTAAAACTTGTCTTGATCACTAGTTAATTTAAAATTTATAGAAAGGGTTCATTATGCTTATGGATATGCTTGCCTCATTCATTAGTTGAAATTTATCCATTTATGATTTTGCAGGCACTTGACACTTTCAACACAGCTGTTGTTTCTCCCATATACTATGTTATGTTCACATCACTGACTATTTTAGCGAGTGTAATCATGTTTAAGGTAATTGCCAGACATTTATGGTATCAAAATGGTTCATAAGTATATTAAATTATACCATTCAACGTATATTACATCTTCTGAACCAGGCCGTGTTTAAACTTTATTATCGTATCGATTAGTCTACTACGTGCAATGGATTGCTTAACCTATATATATGTGCTTCTTCCATCTTCTTCTCTATTTCAATACTAAAATTTGTGACTTGATAAAATGCTTACTCGTTTGCATTCTTATCAGGATTGGGACAGGCAGACCCCGACGCAGATTATAACACAAATGTGTGGATTTGTAACTATCCTTTCAGGAACTTTTCTTCTTCACAAAACCAAGGATATGGTTGATGGTATGATCTCATCAACCTTGAATAGTGAATTTATTCTCATTCATCGCGATTAATTACCTCGTGTAGCACATGGAGCACATTGCAGCATTACTTCATTGGAGCTTTCAACTTGTTTTTGACATTTTAAACATTTGATGGATCATATCTTAAACCAGGTCCAAGTTTGACATCTATGTCAATTCGAGCATTAAAGCATGACGAAGAAGATGGCTTTGATGAAGGCGTCCCTCTTAAGTGCCAGGGTTCATTGAGATCACTTTGAAACTTTAGGTCATCGATGCCATTCTACAAATCTCAGTAGAGCTTATGGGGAGAAGCCTTGTTGAATGTCGAGGTGTATTTTACAACCGATTCGATCACACCCGCATTTTGGGAAGGTGAGATTATCCGTACGGCTTCGAGACCAAACTATATGAACTTCAGAGTCTTTTGCCTTGTAATAGTCCCAATGTAATCTCTTTTGCCTTGTATAAACTATATCCAATGTTCTCAACATGTGAAGTGAGAAAAACAAGGACAAAGAAAAGAATCAGATACTAGCAAATCTTTTGCAATTTTGATTTGGTAGATCAACTGTTGTTCCCTTCTCATTTATTTAAAATGGCATCTCAAATATACATATGTGCCTGATTTTCAAAATACAATGCGTCAGTTGAGTTATATGTATTATGTAGTGTACCGACAACGTCGAAGCAAAATACAAACGAAATCAAACCATGATGTCCAGTCTTTGCATTCACTTGGCTATTTGCTTTAGGAGAGCAGACACAGATGCACAATGGGTGGACTCATAGTTGCATTTCTCGCAGCAAGATTGCAGCAGTTGGATTACTTTCTGGCACCTATGATACATAACACGGATCATTTTAGAAAAAATCCGAGTTCAAAATGACCCAATCTAGAATGATCTAGAAATCGAAATAACAAGTAGTCCAATATGATCTTAATCCAAGTGTCAAATCAAAATGAAAGAAAAACCCAAAATGACTTCAAAAAAAACTAGCAGACTTGAATGAATCGAATACAAAACTACTCAAACCTGAAAATACCCAACTCGAAATGGTCTTAACCTAAAAATTTAAAACCTAAATTGACCAATACATGGTAATATTGACAGACAAATGTGAATGAACAGAACTCGAAACAACTCAAAACTGAACCAAACCTACACTCGAAACGATCTTAATCTAAAGAATTTAAAACCCTAGACGGACCAATACAGGGTGATATTGACAATGTCTAGTAGGAGACATCTTTTGCTAGTTTAGTTTTCTTATTCACAAACAGGACTCAAATTAAGCATCCATTTTTGAAAATAATCGCAGCATCAAGGATGGATCAAACTGATACAAACAGTTTAACTTGTAAGCTACCCCATTGTCTCTAAAAACGAATATCCACGATCCATCCCTTTTTCAATATAATTAAACCAAGGACGATTTCAAGGTTCCTCGATCAAGTTCTCTAAGAAAGCCCAACCATACCCGAAATCAATCAAGTTACTAAGGAAAATCCTAAAGATTCTTACCTTTGAGGAAGGAAGTTGCTCTTGGAGAGACAAGCTTGGATATCGCAAGCTTCTTTCTTGCAAGGCTCTTTGCTTGGCTGCGCCATCTCTTGTTTCTATGATTTAATTTCTCCACTCTAAAATCAAATATTCTCAGCTTTAAAATTGATGAAATTTCTTTTTGTTCTTTTTCTTCGATTCACGTAAGCTCAAGAATCTCGTAGAGAAGCGGCAGCTTAAATATGAGAAATCGACGGGTGGCGTTGGTTTGGACCGGTTAATTTCGGGTCGACTTCGGCCATTTTGACATTGAATTAATGGTAAATATACATTTTGGTATCTGAACTTGGATTAAATGTTTATTTTGGTATCTAATTTTTTAAATTCAATTAAGCACTTGAATTTGATCTCAAAATTTAATTTGGTGTCTATTTTCAATAAATTATAAATAAAAATAAAAATAAAAATATTATTATCAGTTTCGAACTCTATATATTAAGACATTGATATGATTTTAATTTTTTAAAATTGAAAAATTAACTTATAACGATTCAATTTAATTTAATTTAACTTCGAATTCATCATACGACTCTTTTGAACTTGCCGTGTAAGTCTAGACGTGGTCCAATCATTTGAAGGCAAAGCTCTCACAAGGTCTCAAAGCCAAAGCCTCTGTCCTGTCCGTCAAAGGTCGCCATAGTGAAAGGATAAAACTCTCTTTTTCCCTCTGATTATCGATCGAAAGAGAGATGGACGATATTAAACCATTGATTGAAATTTCGAGATCCAAATTAAAACAAGCTTCGATTCTATGGGCGGAGGGTTTCAGAGAAGCTTGTTGTATTAACAGAGTTTTCGTTCTTTGCTACAGGTTTCTTGTGTTTTCTCTTCTAATCAATCACTCTAATCTACTTTTTCTCGGTAACTAAAATCTGGATTTTGTTCATTTAGATGGGTTTTGTTTTGTTTTGTTTTTGACAGGTCGAAGAAGCTTTTGATTAGAACCGGACAGTGTTTCCTTTTAAATGGATTCATTTTCTTAGGAAGGTAAAGCTGAGTTCCTTCTTTTTTCCAGAATTGCTTATTGGAAAATGACTGTAATTTTGCTTTATTTTGTTGTATTTTTTTTTCAGTTTGTTTGTCTTGCATTCGGCTGTTATCCCAATACTACAATGGATATTGCCTGATCATTACACGCAGGCCGGTTGTGAAGAAATGTCTGAATTCCATGGTGTCTTCAGATTTTATTCCTTCTTACGTGGCTTCCTCATACAGCTGTTTTATGTAAGTGTTTAGTGGAATTGTGTTGATTTGTGTACGATGCAAACTGCATTATTGTTGCTATTTACGGTTATGTGCTTTCTGATTGCTTTCTAAAAGAAAAGTTCAATTGTTGTGCCCTATATCTATATGTATTATTTCCAAAGTTTCCTGTAGGCTCAATCCTGTTCGAGTACTTAGCCGGGAACTGTGCGTTTTGTGTTTCATTGCTAATACTAATAGTGTGCTTTATCACAGCTGTACCGGGCACATTGTTTCGCTTTCTGCATGTGTTATTGCATTTGCTGATAGTGTTTTGCCTTTATATGGGTTTTAACATTAGTTCCTGTCATTGTTGACCAAACATATGGTGTCTTGAAAGGATTTAGAAGCGAGACAATAATTACCATGTAATTGTGTATTGATTTATCTTTGTGCTTCATGGTCAATACTCATAGTGTACTTCATCACAGCCGTACCATGCACATTGTTTCATTTTCTGCATGTGTTATTGCAGTTGCTGTTAATCTTATGCCTTTATATAGGTTTTAACATTAGTTCTGATAATTGCTGACCTAACATATGATGTTTTGAAAGGATTTAGAAGCGAGACAATGCTTATAGTGTCTTGTGATCTTTGTCTCACTATGAAAAATTAACCTTATCAAACCAGGTATCATCACCAATTTGATTTATCACCTGCAGGTATTTTGGTTCTATCCCTTGTACGTCTTCAGCTTTATTCTGAGCAATCTCTGGTACTTTTCTCACCCGTCATGCTTTTAGTTGTTTCTCCTATGCGACATTTTAATTAATTGCAATATCCATCTGGACCTTCGTATCCTGTAATCGTTTAAATTACCAGATGGGATTTAAAACGCATGTTAAAGTTATCTGTTTCCGAATTTCTGTTTGAACCAACAATGTCTTGGTCCAGGTACAATGACATTGCTACTCATGGTTTTGCTGCAATGGGGAGATCCGGGCCTTCTGTGGTGGAATCCCCAAAACAAAATGATAAATTGACCTCGGACAATAAAGCAAATGCAGCAAGGCCGGCTGGCCTTGGAGGGTACTAATGACTGTGGGCGTCCTTCTTAAACAAAAAATTAAACATTGCATAGATGTGTAAGTCTGGTTTTCATTGTATATTTTCCTTCAGGATCATGATCGGAATTGGGGAGCAGGTATATTCGGTGCTTCTTCTGACTTTGTTTTTCTTAGAGGTAAAAAATATCATCTATATCATATTTTTTCGGGCTTCCTTCAACACTTTTCTGTGTATGAAGTTATCTATATTTTCGAGATGATGACTTGCATCCTTTTACAATTTACATGAAGGTTTATGCCACGGGATTTATACCCTATATCGGGAAGGCACTCAATTTCATACTTCTTTCTTGGATGTATGCTTATTACTGTTTCGAGTACGTGGTAAAAAACGTATTTGTGTTCTTAATCTTTTTGCCCTTACTCTGAGCTAGATAGTGGATAAAAAACGTTTAAACTTCTTAGGTACAAATGGAACTTTACGGAATGGGGTCTGGAAAAGAGACTGGACTTCTTCGAAACTAATTGGGCGTTCTTTGCTGGTTTTGGTAATTACTTTTCACTGCAGACAATTTCTATTTGAGATTGCCGTTACGGAAGTGAATAGAACTCGAGAAAATTTGTACTTTTACAAGCTGAAAATAAATACTATATACTAGACCACTCTTTGTTGAACGGACTGCTATATAATGTTCGAAATCTCACTGATATTCTAACTGTATTTTTAGGAAGTCCTTGTGTTCTGGCAATTTTCTTTTTCTCACCTCTTGTCGGCTACGGTCTTATGGCCATACTCTTCCCTCTGGTTCGTCCCAAGTCTCTCAACCCTTATTCTTCTGGTAATTATAGAATCTCTCTTTCCCGAAACATTGGATGGTCTTTAACATGCATGTTTTTCAGTTTGTTCTTACTGCAACAGGCACAGAGGCCGAGCGAGTTATTTCCACTCGAAGAAGAGGATTTAGTGGTGCCGAGCTGGGGAAGCTTCCGATATTTTATGCAGCGGATACTTTACTGTAAGCCGCCTGCTTTAATTAGCTTTAAAATACCTAAACTTTTGTTTTTTAATGTAATCATTTATTTCTCCTCTAGGATGCGAGTCTTGTCCCTCTTCCCGTTGGAATCCCAAGAACAAATGCAAGACAATAAAACGCTATAACAGATACTGTCCTACTTTCTCACAGCTTCTCAACAGTAAGTCCATTTTCACAAGCTCGGAAAAGAAGTTTTTGAACTTTTTATCTCTTTTCTCGTGTTCTTACATGTGCCGAACCTTGTTCTCGGAGCAAATTTTTTCGTTCATCGTCGTTAAATATGTTTGATCTCGTATTTTCTTGAACAGGGTTGTGAATGACTGGCAGTTGGTTTAAAATTTTCATCCAAGAATCTTCACGACAGCGCCATGGCCGTTGGGAATTCGTTTTCGTATAAGTGTTGTGTACATAAAAATGCAGAAATTAAAAGTGTAAGAGCATATACTGTCACTGATTTCTGTCCCTTTACGAGATTATCAGAAATGTGTGTAGTTTGGTGTTATTAACTTATAAATGAAAATGATAATGCGAAATGATGCAAGTGGAAAAATACCGGAACATATAATGATTACAGACTTCCAAACAAGCCAGCTCCAAAGTACATGGAGTTATCACAAAAACAACCAAGTAAAAGGAAACATAGATGATGTCTGTATACAGATAATGTCTAATCTAAACAAACTTGGAAGTGTTCAAGCAATAATAACATAGTGCAAAGTAGATATGAAGAACAAAAACATAGGGTTTTCTTCGATCCTCCAAACTGAACTCGGGGGTATTTTTGAAGGACTCAACCTTGCTTCGAGACAGGGTTATGAAAAGGTCCAATGTCAAACGGACAACATTGAAGCTTACAACTTAATTAGTTCAATTAATCCCTCTTTGTCCCCGATGACTCTTATTAGAATGATTGTCCGGCTTCTTTCTCGCAATTGGTAGTTGGAATTCAAGCTTATCAAATGTGAAGCAAATTCGATTGCTGATAATCTCGCCAAAACTGATGTTTGCACAGATGGAACAACTTGTATCCTCCCTGAAGCTCCTTTTAAGCTGCAGAACCTCCATTGTGATATCTATGGGCCACCTTACTTGAGGCCTAACGTCCTCTAATGTAATCTGGCTTTTGCCTCCTTACTATTAAAAAAAAATAAAGGACATACCTTGAAGTTGCAGAATCTGTGTTTGATAAACGTGAGTGGAATATCACTGCCAATGGCACCAATTGTGGATGGTAAAGTTGCATTCAAATTCTTTACATTCCAGGGCTAGTCCATTGCAAAGATTACTGCATACTTTACATGGAGGGCAATTCCAATTGTTTTTCACAACAGTTAATGGATGTGGATGATTACCGTATACGACTTTGCTTCCAAGCTTCATAAACTGAGGGTCCCCGAAAGTGCACTTGGAACGAAGAGAGTTATCACAATCGGCACAGTAGTAAAACCAATCATTAGGGTAGCGTTCGTTCTCACACGGATCACAGTAATGTTGAGAAGGACTAGAATCATCAGAATATGTCAGAGTAAGAGCATGTTTGTCATACTTGTACCAAGCTATGAGCGGTTGTGTCACACACGATATATGTAAAGTTGAACCACAATGCTTCATGCATGTATATGCAATTTCATGTTTCAACATTATTCCGACACAACCACTGCACTGTGTTTGCAAGTCGTGGACGAGAAGAAGTGAATGCTCATGACTCGTATGCTTTAGAGTGTCTGATAATAAAATACATTGAATGTCACATTGAAAGGACGATCTGCAATCTTCGTCGTGTTGGTAGCTAAATCCATGATAAGGACGGCAGCAAGTATGGCATGATGAATAGCCAACCCCTGGTTGTGAGTTTGAGCGTCAGCACATGCTTGTGAAATGGGTGTCGTTTTTTCCTAGGCAATTCAGCACAATCTTTATGGAGAAAAAACTTGCACCGATCACAACTATAAAAAGGAATTGATATAGGCCTCCTACACCCATGACATTGCTTGTCATCTTCAATCTCCCAATTAAAAATGAGTCTTAAATTGTGATCATGATACTCATGTTTGATCTTAGTTGCTACCATCTACTCACCAATAATCGTTTTTTCGATAATGTCCGTAATCAAATTCAAAGATTCATGCAATGTTTCATTGCAGCTGTCATCATTGTCTTCCAAGACAATTGTTCCATCCCAAATTGCTTTATTGGTAGCACAATGTACATGAGCAATATAATTGCAATCAGTGTTAGAACAAGAGTAACTGCCATACCTTCTATTGACTTCCTCGTAACAGATCTTGCACATCCAATCTACAAATTGGTCTTTTCGAAGAGAATACGAATGAGAAATCACATGAGGATGTCATGTTATCACGATCTTACGGGACATCGAAATACACTTCTTGTGTACAAGGTCACACGTAGTGCGGATATAAGGGGTGTGATCTCCAAGCATGCCACAAGAATCACAAGTAAATGACATTTTTCTTAACAGAAGCATCCACGGATGTTCATGACTTTCGATTTCGATTGTTCATGGTGCGAAATATTCATCAACGATAAGCTCAAAGTTGCAAAGAGAGCAGGAATAAACAAACCCTTCCCATTGGATTTTGCACAGATAGCAACCACAATTATTCAGATGAGTAGTTGGTTTCAGCAAGAGACTAAGAGGATGGTCAGGGTCATAGGGGTGGTTAACCTCAAGGGCTAAATTAGAACATTTATCATGAAGGTTAAAGAACTTAGGCAAAGAACAATGTGTGCAGTGGTAAATTGGTCCGAATAATGGATTTTTACAAGCAGAGCAATTGTGTTTGACTTCCTCCGTATGATTTTGAACGAATAACAATGGATGCCGGTGCAAACGAGTAGGAAAATCTGCAGCAATGGATGATTGAAGCAAAGCACAGTTTACGTGCAGATCGAAAATACAAGGAGCACAATGATAAACAATTCCCCAACAATCTCTAGAACAAAAATCACAAGTACCCTCGTAAGGTACTTTTGGCAAAGTAGTCAAAGGGTGTTGAGTGTGGAAGGGATGATCAATTTGGGGGGCTAACTCTAACTCTGCGCATCTTTTATGAGGAAAATACTTTCATTCATTGCAGCCATATCTCGGACCACCAAGAGATTGATCACACCGAAAGGAGTATGCTGTTTCACTGGCAAAGCTCTGATCTTGGATGAACATCAATGGATGTTCATGGCTGAAATGATGAATTTCCATATCTCCCTCTTTCCTGCTCTCAGACTCAGTGCGATCCATTGCAAGATAACAACTCAGATTTGCTTCAGTCCTTGAGGTTAGCAGATATGGTTTATTAGGGGTGTTTATGATCTCAGGGAGTCGTAAATGTCTTCAGCCGTAAATGCACTCATTTAATGGTTGTAGGGCCTAAATTCATGTTGGCCAAATAAAATGGAACTGCCACCTATTTGTGAATAAAAGGTCCATTATTTTTTCATCTATTAATATCAAGTACTTCATTTACAAGAGATTTAAGTGTGATTTTACTGTTTGAACTCATCTAGTGGTCTTAGTGATTAAAGAGAATGTTTTTCTCCTTAAAAGTTCTGAATTTGAGTAGCTACTACTATTGGGTGTGTTCGCGTTGTCAAGACTATAAACAATTACTATCTTATAATTAACACAAACTATTAAAAAAAAGTGTAATTTTTCCATCGTGCTTCTCACCTAATTTAGTTTCAGCAGGCAAGAGCATATCAACTCATCACAATTTAAAAGTATATTATCCTTCAATGACACCACTACATGGAACGATTACAGACTTCCAAACCTTTGAAGTTGCAGAATCTGTGTTTGATAAACTTGAGTGGAATATCACTGCAAACGGCACCACCAGTGGATGGTAAAGTTGCATTCAGATTCTTTACATTCTAGGGTCGTCCCATTGCAAAGATTACCGCATACCTTACATGGAGGGCAATTCCAAATGTTTTTCACAACAGTTAATGGATGTGGATGACGAGCAGATTTAACTTCACTTCCAAGCTTCATAAACTGAGGATGACCGAGAGTGCATATGGAATGAAGAGAGTTATCACAATCAGCACAGTAGTAAAACCAGTCATCGGGGTTGCGTTCATTCTCACACAGATCACAGTAATGTTGAGAAGGACTAGAATCATCAGAATAAGTCAGAGTAAGAGGATGTCTGTCATACTTGTACCAAGTTGTGAGCGGTAGCGCCACACATCGTATATCTAAAGTAAAATCACAACGCTTCATGCATCTATATGCAATGCAATCTCGGGATATTTCTGAATGACAACCACTGCACTTGGTTGGAAAGTTGTGGGCTAGAAAGAGTGAATGTTCATGACATGGATGCTCCAAAGTGTCTGATAGTGAAATACATCTAATGTCCCAATTAAAGTGTGATTTTCCCTCTTCATTGTAGCATCGGTAGCTAAATCCATTGTACGGACGGGAACAACCATAGCATATTGAATAGCCATCCACTGGGCTCAAGCTCGAGTTTGTGAGTGTTAGCACATGCTTGTGAAATGGGTGTCGTTTTACTCTAGGTAATTCAGCGCAATCTTTATGGAGAAAAAACTTGCATTGATGACAACTATAAAAATGAGTTGCGATAGGCCTCATACACCCATCACATTGGCTATCATCTTCAATATCCCCAGAAAAAGTGAGTCTTAAATTGTGATCATGGTATTCATGTTTGATCCCAGTCGCTACCATCTGCTCTCCAATACACGTTTGTTCAACAACTTCAATAATCAAATTCGAGGATGTATGTTGTGTTACGTTGCAGCTCTCATCATTGTCTTCCAAGAAAATTGTGCCATCCCAAATTGCTTTATTGGGTGCACAATATACATGAGCAATATAATTGCAATCGGATGCAGAACAATAGTAACTACCATACCTTGTATCGACATCTTCATAACAAATTCTGCAAATCCAGTATCCGACTTCATTTTGTGGAAGAGAATATGAATGAGAAATTATGTGATGATGCCTTGTTATCATGATACTGCGAGGCATTGAAATGCACTTCTTGTGGACAACAAGATTACACTTCGTACAGAGATACGGGTTGTGATCTCCAGCGATGCCACAAAAATCACAAATAAATGACATTTGTCTCAACAGAAGCTTCCATGGGTGTTTATGACTTGCAGTTGTGATCTTTGGTGGTGTAATAACATCATCAAGAGTAAGCTCCAACTTGCAAATAGAGCAAGAATAAACAAACCCTTCCCACTGGATTTTGCATAGATAGCAACTGCAATCGTGATGATGAGTAGGTGGTATCGGCAAGAGAGTAAGAGGATGCTTAGGGTCGTAGGAGTGTTTAATCTCAAGGGGTAGTTCAGCACACTCCTTATGAAGGTTAAAGAATTTAGAAGAACAATCCCCACAGTGGTAAATTGGACCAGATAACGGTTTCGTACATCCCGAGCAATCGCGTTTGATTTCCTTGTTATGGTTTTCAAGGAAGAACAATGGATGCTGGTGCAAATAAGAGGGAACATTTGCAGCAATGGATGATTGAAGCAGAGCACAGTTTACGTGCAGATCGAATCTACAAGAAGCACAATGATAAACAAATCCTGCAGAGCCACTATAACAAAAATCACAAAAACCACCCCTATAAGGAAATCCTGGCAAAAGAGTCGAATGGTGTTGGGAATGGAAGTGATGATCAATTTCAGGGGCTAACGCTAACTCTGCACATTCCTTGTGAAGAAAATGCCTACATTCAGTGCAGCCATAGCTCGAACCCTCTAGCGACCGACCACACCCGAAGCAGGAAGCTGCTTCACTTGCGAAACCCTGATCTTGCATAAAGACCAGTGGATGGTGATGGCTGAAATGATGGATTTCCATGTCCTCACCTTTCATGCTTTCAGACACAGTGTGATCCATTGCAAGAAAAATGTTTAATTTGCTTCACTTGAATCCAGGCCTTGCAGTTAGCAGATGCTTTATTAGGGTCTCAAGGGAGATGCCAATGTTCTTGGTCGTTGACTTGTCGTCCATGGTTGGTAAATGAATGCAACAGGGTTAACAATCCAAACATGCCCATAGTTAAACAATGACGTGTGTTCTGTTCCCATTAGGCAATTGGGTGTTTAAAAAAAATCGTACTTTGTAAGGGATTCGGTGACCTACTCCAATTTTGCAATTTCTACAGCGTACATACTAATTTATACATATATCGACAAATCGTCCGATTATTAAATTACGATAAGTTATATTTTCAACATTCAACTAGCCAAGTTTGATTATTTAAGCATTTCATCGTTGATATGTTCAACTGTTAGTTTGTCTGTTCAAATTAAAGGTTTGTTTGGAATTTGACATAATTTAGACAAAGATTTTAGCCTCAAAAAATAGGTTTTGAACAAAAGTTTTTGACCCATTAATATATAAGTCAAATTCGAACTTCACAATGCGAGGCAAGAAGCCTTGCAGAAAAAGAAAGCAGAGAGGAAAAAGATGTTACAGGAGACCGACGCAAAGCTCAGTGCCGAAGCGAAAGAACGTGCTCGGCAGATGATGAAGGCAATGCCGAAAATGAAGATGATCTGTGCGTAGATGTCTTTTGGTCTTTTATTAGGCACTCAACCAGAGATTTAGTGGTATCGATGCCATTAACTGTAGTACTAGTTCAGGGATCTTCTTAGTATTTGCAGATCAATTGTATCCTCCCTGTGAATTTACTTTAGTTTTCAATTTTATATCTATACATGTTGCACTCAATTTACATCTGGTGTTGGATCGGAATGTGGACGTCGGAGACGATCAAGGCATCCCATACAAACAAAGTCGTCGACAAACCAAAGCTAAATACATAAAAAAAAAAAACAGACAATAACCGACACAACCACCATGTGAGCGGATAGTGGTGTTTCCCGAGCTATACTCCGTTACTCCCCAAGCATATTGCGGAGTCAAAATGAAAAATAAACACGCCGTCTGTGGGAATCGAACCCACGACCACGTGGTTAAAAGCCACGCGCTCTACCAGCTGAGCTAAGACGGCTAGTTGACACAATAATTCGGTTTTTAATAATTGTTACTTACAAACAAAATTAATAAAACACATTTCGACATGGGATAAATATGCATGTTTTTTGGAATTTGGACTTTCCCTTCAATGTAAAATATTCACATCATTAACTTTAATGATTATATATATATATAATAAAAGAAGCCCGAATTACTTCTCATTATGTTCATAATCAATTCCGATATAGCAGTCGGATAGTGAAAAGAGATGTTGCAAATACCACTCCCAATGAAGAGTTTTGCATGGCAACCTGAGCGTGGAGATTGCATGTACTCCACATAAGATTAACAAAACAACATTGCAGAAGTATTAACAATAGGTTGAACATTGGAGGCACACTCGAGGGTGACCAATTCTTAATTTATAAGTATTTAAAGAAGATAACTTCGATCTATAATCTCACGACACAATCAATAGAGTAGATCGAGTATATGACCTACGCCAACATGAACCAATCAATTATCAATCAATTCTCTAATAATCAACTTTAATCTTTGATTATTCAACATTTTCCACACCGAGATGTGTTGACTATGCACCGAAAGTGTGCATAATAAATGCAACTTTCGGTGCTGCTTGAAAAAAAGGGGCAGCAGCTATTGTTGAATTTTCAGCAATGGTAAAATCTTATTTTTAGCCATTGTAATTTAGGGTATTTACAAATTAGTCCTTAAAACTTCAACTATAATACCCTAGCTCATTTAGCTTCAAAATCATCCCAAAGCATTCTAGCTTTCTTCCAATACTAGAGAATTTAGAGAGTTTCTTGAGAGTTGTTTTCTCATTTTTATCAAGAGAGAATTATCATTGTTTTCTCCTTGGTAGATCAAGAGAGGTTGTAATTCCTAGTTTCTCATAGTGAAATTCTTCTACCGTTGCCCGTGGTTTTTACCCTATATTATTTAGGGGTTTTCCACATAAATTTGTGTCTCTTTTATCTTCATTTTTATTTTCTCAAATTATTAGTTGCGATTTTGCTCTATCAGATAGCCGTCTTCCGCAACAATTGGTATCCGAGCCATATTTGAGTGTGTAATATCTGCTTATTGTCTTTGTGGTTGCCACCAAAAGGCGGATCCTCCAACATAAGAAAATAAGAAGGTATTACCCATTCTTTGAGGTTCTAGAGAACTATTCACGATAGTGAAATAGTGGGAGCTATCAATAATAGAAGCTATGACAATAAAAAATTGACATTGAAAAGTTCAATGGGAGAAATTTATCATTGTGGAAATTGAAGATGAAAGCCATCCTGAGGAAAGACGGGTGTCTAGCGGCTATCAATGAAAGGCCGGTGGATTTCGCAGATGACAGCAAATGGAACGAGATGGACGGAAATGCTATGGCAAACTTTCATCTAGCATTAGCAGATGAAGTATTGTCAAGCATCGAGGAGAAGAAGACAGCTAAGGAGATATGGGATCATCTCACCAAATTGTACGAGGCCACATCGCTGCACAATAAAATTTTCCTTAAAAGGAAATTGTATACTCTCCGTATGCCAGAATCTACTTCAGTGACGGAGCACTTAAATACACTGAACACCTTATTTTCTCAGCTTACATCCTTAAGCTGTAAAATAGGAGAACAAGAACGTGCTGAACTTCTACTTCAAAGTCTACCGGATTCATACGATCAACTCATCATCAACTTGACAAACAGTAATGTCACCAGTTTAGTCTTCGATGATGTTGCAGCTGCTGTTCTACAAGAAGAAAATCGGCGCAAGAATAAGGAAGACAGACAAGTAAATCTGCAACAAGCAAAAGCGTTGACAACGATGACAACGATGAGAGGAAGATCAACAGAACGTGGCCAAAGCAGCAGTCACAAACATGGTAGATCGAAGTCGATGAGCAAGAAGAATTTAAAGTGCTACAACCGTGGAAAGAAATGTCACTTGAAGAAGGATTGTTGGAGCCTAAATAAAAAATCCAATCCACAAGGTAATACCGCAAACACTTCAGATTATGGAGATGTTCTATGTTGTGAAGCGTCAACCACCGTGGAAGGTAGAAAGAGATATGCAAATATATGGCTCATTGATTCGGGAGCAACATATCACATGATCTCAAGAAGAGAATGGTTCTATCATTATGAACCTGTCTCAGGAGGATCTGTGTATAGTTGCAATGATCATGCCTTAGAGATCATTGGCGTGGGAACTATCAAATTGAAGATGTATGATGGAACAATTAAAGTTGTTCGAGATGTGCGGCATGTGAAAGGCCTGAAGAAAAATTTATTATCCTACGGATTGTTGGATAATAATGCAAGCAAGATTGACACACGGAAAGGAATCATGAAGGTGTTCCGTGGAGCGCTTGTGGTACTGAAAGGCGAAAAGATAGCAGCAAACGTGTACATGCTAAAGGGAGAGATTTTGTTAGAAGTAGAAGCCTCTGTTGCCTCATGTAGTTCAGATTCTACAATGCTATGGCATCAGAAACTTGGACACATGTCAGAACAAGGAATGAAAGTCCTTGTGGAGAAAAAGCTACTTCCAGGCTTAACAAATGTATCACTTACTTTGTGTGAGCATTGCATAACAAGTAAGCAGCACCGGTTGAAATTCAACACGTCAAATTCTAGAGGCAAAAATGTTCTAGAATTGGTTCATTCTGACGTATGGAAAGCACCGGTTACATCCCTAGGCGGAGCAAAATACTTTGTCTCATTTATTGATGACTACTCTAGGAGATGCTGGGTGTACCCTATTAAGAAGAAGTCAGATGTGTTTTCAACTTTCAAAAACTTCAAAGCGCGGGTGGAACTTGATTCTGGAAATAAGATCAAGTATTTCAGAACAGATAATGGAGGAGAATACACAAGCAAAAATTTGATGACTTTTGCAGGAAAGAATGTATCAAAAGACAGTTCACAGTAGCAAACACTCCTCAATAAAATAGAGTGGTAGAGCGGATGAACAGAACCTTGTTAGAAATAACAAGAGCAATGTTGAGGGATGCAAGCCTAGAAAAATCATTATGGGCAGAAGCAGCAAATACCGCCTGTTATTTGGTGAATCAAGCTCCATCAACTGCAATAGAGTTGAAGACACCAATAGAGATGTGGACTGGTAAACCAGCTGATTATTCAAACCTCCATGTATTTGGAAGTATTGTGTACGTGATGTACAACTCCCAAGAAATTTCAAAGTTGGATCCAAAATCCAGGAAATGCAAATTCTTGGGGTATGCTGATGGAGTAAAGGGGTATCGCTTGTGGGATCCCACTGCCCGCAAAGTGATAATCAACAGAGATGTTGTCTTTGTAGAAGATAAGCTACAAAGAAAAGAAGACGATGATAGCACTGAAAAGTCAGAGACTACACAGATACATGTGGAAAAGGATGTTGAACAAGAAGATTCTTCTGAAGCAGAACCAGAGAGTTCTGAAGCTCCAACAACTCGTTAATCAGATCGTGTGAGAAGACGTCCCAATTGGCACTTAGATTATGTTATAGAAGGTAATATTACATATTGCCTTTTAACAGAGGACGGTGAGCCATCAACATACCATGAGGTAATAAACAACTCAGATGCTTCACTGTGGATGATTGCGATACAAGAAGAAATTGAAGCCCTTCATAAAAATAATACATGGGACCTTGTGCCACTACCACAAGGAAGGAAGCCAATTGGTAACAAATGGGTCTTCAAAATCAAGCAAAATGGTGACGATCAAGTTGAGAGGTATCGTGCAAGACTGGTGGTCAAAGGATATGCTCAAAAAGAAGGTATTGATTTCAATGAAATATTTTCTCCTGTGGTTCGACTAACAACAGTTCGAGTAGTTTTGGCAATATGTGCTATATTGAACTTACATCTAGAGCAGCTAGATGTTAAAACAGCTTTTCTTCATGGAAATCTTGAAGAAGAGATTTACATGCTCCAGCCTGAAGGTTTTGAAGAAAAAGAAAATAAGAACTTGGTTTGCAGGTTGAACAAGTCTTTGTACGGTCTAAAGCAGGCGATGAGGTGTTGGTATAAGAGATTTGATTCCTTCATTATGTGCCTTGGATACAACAGACTTAATGCAGACCCTTGTGCTTATTTCAAGAGGTCTGGTGATAACGATTTTATTATATTGATGTTGTATGTGGATGACATGTTGGTTGCAGGACCCAAAAAAGATCATATTGAAGAATTGAAGGCACAACTGGCTAGGGAATTTGAAATTAAGGACTTGAGATCAGCAAACAAGATTCTAGGGATGCAAATTCATCGAGATAAAAGTAATAGGAAGATTTGGCTTTCACAAAAGAATTACTTAAAGAAGATCTTGTCACGATTTAGCATGCAAGATTGTAAGCCAATTTCTACCCCTCTTCCTATTAACTTCAAATTATCCTCTAGTATGAGTCCTAGCAGTGAAGAAAAGAGGATGGAGATGTCTCGAGTATAGTATGCATCGGCAGTGGGAAGTTTAATGTTCGCTATGATATGCACAAGACCAGACATTGCACAAGCAGTGGGAGTGGTTAGTCAGTACATGGTGAACACATGCAAAGAGCATTGGAATACAGTAAAGAGGATCCTGAGATACATCAAAAGAACCTCAAATGTTGCATTATATTACAGAGGATCAAATTTACTTATCAATGGGTATGTTGATTCTGGCAGGGGATTTAGATAAAAGCAAATCTACTACAGGATATGTGTTTAAAGTTGCTGGTGGAGCTGTAAGCTGGGTTTCAAAATTGCAGTCAGTTGTGGCTACATCCATAACAGAAACAGAATATGTATCAGCTACACAAGCCAGTAAAGAAGCAATTTGGTTGAAGATGCTATTGGAGGAGCTTGGGCACAATCAAGAGTATGTCTCTCTGTTTTGTGACAGTCAAAATGCCTTGCATCTAGCAAGGAATCCAGGATTTCATTCAAGGATAAAGCACATACGAGTTCAATACCATTTCATTCGTGAAAAGGTGGAAGAAGGGACGATAGATATGCAGAAGATCCATACCAAAGACAATATAACATATTTCATGACGAAGGCGATCAATGCTGATAAATTTACCTGGTGTCGATCCTCTTGTGGCCTGTCAGAGACGTAAGCAACATGATGGTACAAGGTAGAAAGAATGGTGTGAAGATATGATTGTTCCAATCAAATCTTCAAGTGGGAGATTGTTGACTATGCACCGAAAGTGTGCATAATAAATGCAACTTTCGGTGCTGCTTGAAAAAAAGGGACAACAATTATTGTTGAATTTTCAGCAATGGTAAAATCTCTTTTTTAGCCATTGTAATTTAGGGTATTTACAAATTAGTCCTTAAAACTTCAACTATAAATACCCTAGCTCATTTAGCTTCAAAATCATCCCAAAGCATTTTAGCTTTCTTCAAATACTAGAGAATTTAGAGAGTTTCTTGAGAGTTGTTTTCTCCTTTTTTATCAAGAGAGAATTATCATTATTTTCTCATTGGTAGATCGAGAGAGGTTGTAATTCCTATTTTCTCATAGTGAAATTCTTCTACCATTGCCCGTGGTTTTTACCCTATATTATTTAAGGGTTTTCCACATAAATTTTGTGTCTCTTTTATCTTCATTTTTATTTTCTCAAATTATTAGTTGCGATTTTGCTCTATCAGATAGCCGTCTTTCGCAACAAGATGTTGTATATGATGAACTACTTGACATCAAATATTTTCCTGACATTTTATCTTGGAAGAAAAAGTTCCAATTTGTGGGATAAAAATCAGAAAAGTGAAAATCAAATTCAAAGACCCTTCTATGAAACCTGCATGAAATAGATATGAAATCCGTAGCAATGAGAAAATCATGGTATGCATATATGTATGTTTTATGTATGAGGTACACGCTCAACAACCATACAAGAGCTTTAAACTTTAATGAAATATCATTGGAAATATCTATATAAAAGTCGACTGCACTCACAGTGAATGTTAAAATTACATTCAGATTCTCTACATTCTAGAGTAGGCCCACTGCGAAGACTACTGCATACTTTACATCGACGACAATTCCAGATGTTTTTCACAACAGTTAATGGATGTTGATGACAAGACAATTTGACTTTGCTTCCAAGCTTCATAAACAGAGGATCCCCGAGAACACATACGAAATGAAGAGAGTTATCACAATCGGCACAGTAGTAAAACCAGTCATTCGGGTCTCGTTCATTCTCACACAGATCACAGTAATGTTGAGAAGGACTAGAATTATCGGAATAAGTCAGAGTAAGGGAATGTCTGTCGTACTTGTATCGAGCCGTGAGCGGTAACTTCACACATCGTATGTCTAAAGTGAAATCACAACGCTTCATGCATCTATATGCAATACAATCTTCGAATATTACTTCGAGACTACCACTGCACTTTGTTGGAAAATCGTGGATGAGAAAGAGTGAATGCTCATGACTCGGATGCTTTAGAGTGTCCGATAACAAAATACATCGAACGTCGCATCGAAAGAATGATCCGCAATCTTTGTAGTTGCATTGATAGCTAAATCCATGGTAAGGACGCCAACAAGCATAGCATATTGAATAGTTACCCCTTGAGTTTGAGTTCGAGAGTGTTAGCAAGTGATTGTGAAATGGATGTCGTCTTTCTCTAGGCAATTCAGCACAATGTTTATGGAGAAAAAACTTACATTGCTCACAACTATAGAAAGGAGTTGAGATAAGCCTCATACACCCATCACATTGGCTATCATCTTTGATCTCTCCACTAAAAATGAGTATTAGATTGTGATCATGATAGGTATGTTTGATCTCAACCGCAACCATATGCTCACCGATTCGCATTTGTTCAACAACATCGGTAATCAAGTTCTGAGACTCACATGATGCTTCCTCGAACCTCTTGTTCGCGTCTTCCGAGACAATTGTTCCATCCCAAATCGCTTTATTGGTAGCACAATATACATGAGCAATATAATTGCAATCGAAATCAGAACAACAGTAACTGCCATACCTTGTATCGACTTCTTCATAACAAATCTTGCACATCCATTCTTGAAACTGATCATCTTCTTGAAGACAAAATGAATGAGAAATCACATGAGGATGTCGCGTAATCATGAAATTTCGGGGCATCGAAATACACTTCTTGTGTACAACAAGGTTACACATAATATAGAGATAAGGGCTGTGATTTCCGGCGATGCCACAAAAATCACAAACAAATGATATTTGTTTCAGTAGAAGAATCCATGGGTGATACATGCATCACAAGGCTCACATCAAAGGAAGAAGTAATAACTCTTCCAAATGATCCACTCGTCCAAGCTTTGGAAAAGAAGATCAGAATAGCAGCAGACTTGATATGACTTTTTGAATGGTATCCTGATCTTATTTGGTCGACATGTCTTCTATATATACAATCGTCTGTCTCTTATCTTTCCAACGGTTCTTTAATTGTATCAATCTGATATCGGGAACTCAAGATATGGCCATTTTACTAAACATGGTGCATGCAGAAAATCATATACGGGATTAATACGGGATTTTGTAAATATTACGAATTTTCAATAATTTTATTGATTATTTGTAATATAACTTAATATAGAATGATGCATTATCTTTTAGAATTAGATTTATTATTTTATTAGGAATTAAGGTTGGGTTAAAAATATTATCTTTAGTTATTATTATTTTATTAGGAATTAGAGTTAAGATATGTTTAGTTTATTATTATTTTATTCATTAGTTATTTAGGACCTTTAGAACTCAGCCCCTATATAAAGGATGTTTCATTAAACTTTGTAAATCAAGATTTCTTTGATTAATAATACAACGAGAGTTCATTTTTTGCAAGTGTTGATTGTCTTGTGCCTTCGAAGCTTCTTCTCCTTGAGTTCTTTCAAGTTCTTGTGAGGGAGATTAATCTTCACACTCTAATTTGACTTTTCATCGCGACTAGGAGGGTTGGTTAGAGCCATATTATCGTGTTTGCCTTTTCATTGCGACTAGGAGGGCTCGATAGGACATTATCCATCGATTTTCCACATATCCATCCACATCATCAATCATCTTTACCGTTCGCCTTCATAACGGAGATCTTTTGATTTCTTGGTTATCTTATTTTATTTACAATTATTTTATCTTTTCTTTATCTTGTTTTAATCTTATTTCTTATCTTGTTTCCAGCACAAAAAAACCCTAAATAACCCTATCTATTGCCACCACCTTCCCTATTCGTTCCCCATTGTTCTTCATTGAGTCTAAAGCTTTCTAGGTTTGATTCTTCAACAAGAGCAACGTTCATCAATCCGCCACCGCTTCCCTATCAATTGGTATCAGATTTGGGACGATTCTTGGAAAGAAGCAAGCAATCTTGTTTGTTCTTGCACACAACACCGTCAAGGTACCCCAACGGAGCTAGTTCAGAGAAGATTCATCGTTTCAGGTTATTTTTATTTAATTTTAATTTAGATTCAAATCATTCTTGTTAGTTTGCTATTTAAAAAAAACAAAAAAAAAACAAAAAAAAAACAAAAAAGCCAAAATTTCAAAAAAAAAAATTGAAAATGAAGGTATTTAGGGATTATTTTCTTCAGATATCATATTCATCTTAATTTTAATCTCCAGTCCAAAATTCACTTCAATCAGAGTTCATTAGAGCCTTCAAATACAACATTCAAGTTTTATCGGCAGATTCGGTCTAGAATATTGTCGAATTTCTTGAAAATTCTACAGGAGGACTTTTGTGGTGAAAATTTACATATTGAAACTCCATATATTGGAGATCATTCACACAAAAAATAAGAAGTTTTGGATATCAAGAACAACTTCGAACAAAGCGATCAAGAAAAACAGATTGTTTGAGGACTCACCGTTCAACAGAGTCTACTGGATACTACTGAAAGTATTTGGTTCTGAAATTTTACAGGTGGTTGCTTGACGCATCTAAAGACATTCAAGAAATTTTCCAGAATTTTTGGATACCGGTAACCCCCTCAAAAACGTTGCTCAAGTTGATCCAGCGTTTTCTAGGTTTTCTGGTTTGGTCATTTTTTCTTTGACCCTTAGTGCTTTAGGTTCTTTTGTTTTTCCCTGTTATTGTTCTTTTTCATTATCTAACACATTATCTTCCTTGTGTTAGTAGGACTAAAGAGTTTGCATACTTCTTTCTTCTTTGCATTCTCGTTCTCTTGGAGTCTAACCTTTGTTTGGCCTCTTAGAGCTTTTAGGTTTTTCTTATCGCCTTTGCTAGTAATCAAACTCCGATACGAACTGTGGAAGACTACTTGGTAAAGTGAGTTTTAAAGAGTACAAGATCGGCTTACTTGCCTCTCGTTGTGTTACTTTCTTGGAGTGACTTGTGAGGTTTCTTGCTTCGTTGAATTTTCTTTCTTTTATTTTTATTTTACTTTAAAATTTTCTTTCGAGTGTTATGATTTAAGGATGGGCGACAATAACAACAAGACACTTACGGCTATCTTAGCCACACTTGCACGACTCACGACTCAAGTTGAAAGATTTGATGAACTTACCAATACCGTGAGAGAATGACGAGAACCACAACTGGATCTACCAAAACAGAATCAAAGACCAAACAATGCTGAACTTTTGGTACCCAAGCGAGAACAACCACGTTTCCAAGCACCCGAACTCTTTGCAAAACCAAAGTTCATGATCCCATCTTTCAAAGGATACAACGATCCGGACAGGTACATTGTTTGGGAAGGAAAAGTTGATCTCATGTTCTCATACCATGACTACCCCCAAGCTAAACAAGTTCCCCTCATCACCATGCAATTCGAAGGATATGCTAGAACTTGGTGGATGCAAACAAGGAAAAAGATCCAGAACTTCCAAATTCCAACAATCACTTCTTGGACCGACCTCAAACAAACCATGAGGAAGCGATTCCTACCGACACATTATACACGAGAAGTTAAACTATGACTACACCGACTCCGACAAGGTAGAAGTTCAGTTGAAGACTACTATAAGGAGATGCAGTCCTTACTCAATAGGGCTAACATAACCGAAAAAGAAGAGGTCACCGTGTCAAGATTCATCTTCAGCTTGAACTCAAACATCACTGATCTTCTTAACCTCCATGGGTACGAAAACCTTGAAGATACACTAAAGAAAGCAATGACAATCGAAGCACAAATCCAAAGGAGATTCCAATTCAGAGAACATTACCAAGGTATTTCATCCTCTTACCAAGGTAATCCTTCAAATCCTTCTTCATCTTCTAAAAAAAGTCCAGAGATGACAAACCCGACAAGGAGAAACAACGACCAGCAAAGGATTACACACTTCTAGTCCCTAAAGTTTAACCCGTGGGAGGTGAGTGAACCTAGATGTTTGATGAAAATAGTGACTCAAAATATATGTGTGAGTACAAAAGAATTGAGAGAGAACCTTCTTTACAAACAACCTTGCATCCTTGTTCGCTTTAGGGAATCAATTGTTTCGATTTCTAACATTAACAAGGATTTGCCTAGTGTGTTTTCGTCTCTTTTACATGATTCTCGAGAAGTGTTAGGTGATCTACCTAACGAACTACCACTGAAAAGAGGAAAACAATGCCAAACCAATCTGTTAGGATTTTCGGAAGCTCGAATCGACAACCAGAACGGTTTGTAAAGAGGGGTCAGAACGGTTTTGTGTTTAGGGAGTAAGGAGATTGAAAAATAGAGAATTGTACAGCGATTTATAGTGGTTCGAATTTCTCAATCAAAGTCTACGTCCACTACCTTAGCTCCTCACCAAGGATTTTCCAACAAATTCACTAATTTGTTCTTTCTTTTGAGGATAAAGAGTAACCTTACAAACTCCCTAGTTTTTCCGGGCTAAACTAGAACCTTTCCCTAGCTTTTACACGGGCTAAGCTAGAACCTTTCCCCTTTACAAAATGATAAGAAATGTAAACAAGAAAACCTCTCTAAGGTAGATGTTTACAAGATTGAGCTCACAAGAACAAAATATATACAAGAGAAAGATAAAATAAGAATGAAAAATTCTTCTCTTGTGTTTGATTGCTTGGATAGTTGTTCTATTACCTCTTCAAGTGTCCTTAGCTTGTATTTATAGCTTGGAATGTGTTTGAAGTCATATCTAGCCGTTGGGGATGTTTTGGAGCCGTTTGGGAATGATTTTTCTGCAAAAATAGGCTGCCCAGAATGGGGGGAATCGGTACCCCTTCATAGGGAATCGATACCCCTTCATAATATTCAAATATTATGACCGTTGGGCTGATGAACAGTGAGGGAATCGGTACCCTCAAGGGGGAATCGGTTCCCTCCGAGTAATCTGTTATTTCTCGGAGCCAAACCATGCAAGGGGAATCTATACCCGGGGAATCGATACCCCTGGGGGGAATCTGTTCCCGGGGAATCGATACCCCCTGGGAGGAATCTGTTCCCCCTGGGGGGGAATCTTTACCCCTGGACAATCTGATTTTTCTTGAAACCCTTTAAAAAGAAAATATTTTTGGCTCGATTAAGGCTCGAAATACTTTGTAAAATTGTTTTAAAATAGTTTAAGTATAAAACACAATTTTACACTTTAGTAAGGATTAAAATGAACTTTGAAAGACTTGGAGTAATATTTTGATATTCGAATAATTACATCGAATATACTTAGAAAATCTTTTGTAAAATCTTAAAATTCATTTAACTTAATTTGTTATATCGAAACATCAAAATGTTTTCAACAATCTCCCCCTTTTTGATATAACAAAACATTTGAGTAATTTTAATATTTTGAAATCAAGTTTGAAATTACTCCCCCTTACTTTAACACTTCTCCACTTTAACACCTTCACACTTCTCCCCCTTTTTGTTAAATCAAAAAGACACTAATATTTGAAGTTCAAAATAAATTTGGAGAGTAAGTAGTAAATTTGACATTTTAAAAATCATTTGAAAAAAATCAAATCTCCCCCTCAATAAATGCATTCCAAATAAAATTTTTCTTTTAAGATCTTGACACTTAAACAAAATTGAATTTCAACAAAGAATAACAAACATGTTACTGGCATATGAAATTCAATATATCCAAGACTAAAATACTTTATGCAATACTAATTGTTGAATTTAAGATCATATGCATAAAGTTTTCTAAAAATGTTATGCATTTGAAAATTTTTGATAGCAATTATTAGAGGGATATCATTTTTATTTAAACCACATGCATAAACATTTAAATTTAGGTCAATTTTTTTAAAGATTTATAAAATCAAAGTATTTGAAAAGTTGATA